TAAAATACGAGTTCGAACATTCACTCGGGGACTGACGATTGAAAAACAATCTCGGATGTTCCGAGATATCAGATTACAAGGGCAAAAGACCTATTAGGCAACACTCGAATTTCAAAGGCCACGGCCATTCCTACTCGGGAACAATTATCTTAGGCATGACCGGATAACTCGGGATGACAAGCCCATTAGGCAATGCCCTAACTGAAAAGGTTACATCCATATTAATATGACTTGGAGACGTCCGAGGCTCGTAACAAAAACAAAGCCTTCGAAAAACTCTTATAAATCGGTTCTAAAGGCCGCCCTCGGCAAGGGTATAAACCTAAGATATTTCGGGGGCAAATTATCGGTAACACCGAACCCCTACAATTCCTTAACCTAAAAAAGGCAAGGTTTGGTCGAACCTTCGAACGAAACCTAATTATTTCATGCTAAGGCATCTCGACCTTTGCGAATACAAATAAAGCAAAGAAGAAATTCGAGCTATGAAAGGGAAAAGGCCTTATATATATATATATATATCAAAATTTCTTTACAAGGGATGAATAGCCCTGTTACATGTTATATACAGAGGCCAAATGGCCTCGACAAAGAGACAGTACAAAATAAATAATATTCTAAGTGGCCTAATCTTCACCGGGGGCTGCGTCATAACCTTCGAGGTCTTCTTCACCATCGGACTCACTCGACTCTTCAGACGCCTTAGAATCCTCCTCGGGAAAAGCCAGCCTCCAAGAATTGGCTTTGTATATCTTGGCATTCTTGATTTCGGTCAATATGCCGAAATTCTGAGCATGGATTCCCTCAAAGGTCTCCCTTCGGGATTCCCACCTCGTATGTTTCACCATATTTTTTTCCTACTCCTGGATAGCCTCGACATCAACTTTGAACTGGGCCACTTTTTTATTAGCTTCGTTCTGGGCCGTAATAACTTCTGATTTGGCAACCTCGAGCTTCTTGGCCAGATTCTCTTGACCAGAAACAGTCGAGCTCAACTGAGATTGGATTCCCACGATCATTTTGGCCTATGCCAAGTTCTTCTCCTTTGTAGCCCAAAGCTGAACCTCGGCTGAAGACAACTGTGTCTGGGCGGTCTCTTTCTCCGAGGTTAGGCGATCCATATTCTTCTTCCATTCTTCGGTCTCGACTTTGACTGCATCCAGCTCCACTCGGAGTTGCTCGATCCCGTCAAGTTTGATCTGAACCTGCGGGCGCGGATTATTAGCTACTAAATCCGACTCATCATCGCTAACTTCAAAAACTCTTCTTACCTGCTCGACCAGGTCAGTATATTCCCTACGAGCCGCTTTAAGCTCAGCTTGGGATTTTTCGCTAAGGAGCTTGCAAGCATCCCTCTTTTCAGCAAGCTCCCGAGCTTCAGCCTCGAAACATTTTGACTCCTCCCGGTATCGAAGAAAAGCCTAGTGATAAAGCACCGAGACCTACAAACACAAAGGAAAAACGTTATGATTATTCATAATTAAAGCTAAGAACATAATGAAGGGACATTCGAAATTACCCGATTCGGCGCCTGTCGAGCTTCGTTGAATAGGCAGAAAGAGCTCGGGTCTCTTTTGGGATGGACATATAAATTGCTCGTCTCCGAGTAGGGTCAACACTCGGAGCTGGGAACTGGTTCACTAATCGTGGGCTTGAAGAAGGCCCCGTCTTCCGGGGACAACGTCTTTTTTGGTACCGGTAAATCGCTCAACCCGGTAACATCCTTTGAGGCGGTAGAATCCAGGCCATCGAAAAAATAGTGAAGAGAATCTACTGCTCCTTGGGCCCCCTTGCCAAGGTTACCTTTCAGTGTCTGCGCCTCATTTGTCATTGAATCAGTAAACGAAAGTGTCGATCACCCCAAGCGCCTCCTTAGGCATATTATCTTCTGACCGGAAAGTACCGGCCAAATTCCCTTTATCAGCTTCCCGAGCTCGGAGCAAAACGGTCTCGACTCTCCTTGGTTCAGAGGCTTCGACCGTTGCTTCTTCTACGGCCTCCCTAACTTGAAGTAGTTCAGAACCACTTCTCACACGGGCCACCAAATTGGAATCTTCTTCTTCTTATTCTTCGAACTCATCCCTCAACCGACGGAGTGAGTCCGATGAGAGCTCTCGGGTACTAGCATTTTTGGTTTTACGTACCAGTCGCTTCCTCGGTTTTTTCTTTTCTGGGTCCGAAGGACTCGGACCTTTTATTTTCTTCTTCTCTTTGTCCTGTTTTGAAGGGGGATTGGCGTATATATCATCGTCAGTTGATGGGGGCCTCATTTCACGTCCTTTGGTAAACCTGCAAAATGAAAATATAATGGATCAGAAACCGATGATGAGAACATAAGATCAGATATATTATTAAGGAAAAACTCTTACTATGATTACGGGCCTCCCATCGGCCCTTCGCGAGCTCACGCCATAAGCGCTCGGAGTAAGGTCTCTAAGTCGCGATGCCCTCGACCCACTCTTTAAGTTCAGGAATGGGGTTCGGTATTTGGGTTACAGATGCATCACATAACATCAATGAGAAACTAACGGAATGAAAAACAATAAAAGAAATACCGAAGGCAAAGCTAAACTTACGTTTCATGTTTTATTTCTCAGGAAATGGCATGTCCGCAGCCGAGATTAAGTCTGAGGTCCTCACTCGAATAAATCGACCAAACTAGCCCCGGTCCCGATCCTCATCGATACTCGAGAACGAGGTCTTGGTGGCTTGGCGTGCAAGCTTAATTAATCTACCTCGGTAAAGTTGAGGGTTGTACAGACGCATGAGATGGTCGATTGTGAATGGACATCCCTTGACCTTGCTCACAAAGAATCGAAGCAGAATAATGATCCTCCAAAATGAAGGATGCATCTGCCCGAGCGTCACATCATACCTTTTGCAAAAGGCTATGATAACCGGGTCTAGAGGACCCAGCATGAAAGTGTAAGTGTAAACACTTAAAGAAACCCTCCACATAGGTGGTGATTGATTCTTCAGTGGTAGGAACTACTACGAGTTTGTCTACCTTGTTGCAGTCCTTTTTAACTTTATCGAGGATGCTATCTGTAATCGTACATATGTACCTCGAGACTGGTTCACATTGACCTGGTACCATGGCCGTATTCTCAACCTTAAAGTCAGCCACAGTTGGGCACCCAGCAGGGATGTATGATTTCAGAGGGGGTTCCTCAGTAGCAGCGTGAGAAACATTTTCAGAAGGTTTTGAAGAAGAAGGTGCTTCTTTTTGAGGAACAGACTTTGAAGTCTTTGCCATTTTTTTAAATAAAAAATGAAGGAAAAAAATTGTTGGTAAGGTAAGCCTTGAGGTTAACAATTAGAAAACCAGGAGATGAAGAGGGTGAAATTTTCTTAGAACACAAGAAGAATTTGAGTATAAAAGTTCTAATAGATGGATTAAAGGGTATCTATAGGTTTCTTAAGCGACGGTTCACCTCTCGGGGTAGCCGACCGTCAACTGATACACATTTAATACCTCGAAGACTGGACTGATAGGACGTTTCCACTATTCTTATCACCTACGTCACGTATTCATCGTCATGACTTATTGAAGTGGGGACCGAGAGTTCATATCATTTTTCATCGCTTACTCTCCAGAAAATAAGGGGACTATCTATATACGGGTAGAACCGAGCTCGATGCTTGATCGAGCATCTGGAACGATAGACCAAGCTCGGCACATCTGTAAGAGATCGAAGTTACAGATGTGACCGAGCTCGATGTCGAGGTTCGAAGTTCAACAAGACCATCAGATTTGCCCTCGAGTTTATCGAAGGCACGACCGATCCTGCTTCTAACGGCCTCGGGGAAAAGCTTTGCCAACTCAACCGATAAGGATCCTTGATTCTCGCCATTAACCAATCATTGTGGCGGAAATCACGTGATTAAGTCAAAAAGGGAGACAACCGTCTATATAATTACTTATAAAATAATGACTTAAAAGTTTCATCTCCCTGGATATATATAGGGAATTGAGTAATTCATTAAAAATATTGAAATATACAAAAAAGAACGATATTCTATCTTCTCCAGCCTTGTTCATATTGTTTTGGCTCCAATAATATCACTCCTAAATTCGAAGGAAGTTAACCTTGCGAGGCTTAAGTTGTTCAGTCTGGGTGGTTTGCATTGATTTTTCTATTTATTCTTCCATATTAAATGTGATTTCTCGTTTTGTATCAAATTAGATCACATATCCTTTAAACTGCGTATAAATTCAATTGTTATCTAATTTTGAGGTTAGACAGTAATGTATACTAATATTTTAGTGAAATTGGGTAAAACATACATCAAAAGAAAAAGAGTGGTTACGAGTATTCCTTTTTTGTGTGTGATCAAAAGCAGAATTAAAAACAAAGAAGGCTTAAGTATTTGTGACATTAAGAAAAGTGATGCAATTTGAAGGGCATAACATTTTGAATTGGATTAAAGTAATGTGACAACCTTGATTCTTCAATTTTGGGTGTTGTGTTTCTCTAGTGGTCACTGGTTTTACAAAGATAATTTACTGGCTATTAATGCAAACATCAAATTAACGAGTGACACATGGCTTTCCAATTGGACCAATTTTTTATCAACCAGTAGATCAATCAATGTGAGGGGAAAGCCATTTTATTAATCTGTCATTCTTCCCTTGTTTCCAAACAAAAAATCTCATTCCAATCTTCAACAATATTAAAATGTGAAGCAGAGTCGCCCAATACCTTGTACTTGTTTGAACCATTGAATGGGTTCCCAGTCCCAACTCTCAATTCCCAACCTGGTCGGTGCAAAGATACTTTAAATTTCTTCGTCCAATAAGCACTGTTCCATTGTTACAGTTAATAATACTATTTGTTAAGCAAATCTAAAAGGCTTTTGCTTTACACAATGTACGACCTGTCATTACATAAATCTCAAAATCACTAAGAATACTGAACACTAAGATAACATCTCAGTTTGCGTAAACCGTCCAAACCGACATTTCAGTACTCCCCAAGTACCAATAGCATAGCTCGCCAATCTCTACACAATCCTAGCTAGTATTTGTTTCACCTATATAAACAGAGTCTTGAACAAAGCTATAAGCACAAAAATTCACTCAAAGCACAAGCATTTTAAGAACATATATAGCTTCAGTTTCATACTTGTTAATTATTCTACAAGATGGCAGAGCAACAAAGTCAGTCACAGGAGGAGAATGTAAACAAGGGTGCAGCTCCAGAGAGTAGTGACCGTGGGTGTGGATTGTTCAATTTCATGGGAAAGAAAGAAGAGAATAAGTCCAACGATGACACTGTCATGGTTGATGTTGTTGACACTACTACTCCCTATCCCAATGTAGAACCACCAAAGGAGAAGAAAGAGGAGGAGGAGAAGCACAGTCTCATGGACAAACTTCACCGCACTCACAGCAATTCAAGCTCGGTAAGCTACTTAATTAATTGCTCCTTACTTACTTAGTTGTAGCCTTAGACGTGGTAAATTTGTTAAAAGAAAATAGTTAGTCATCCATGTTATCCATTACAAAATGGGTTGGATATTGAACTTCTAAAAACGGATCGAATATGGATAAAAACTGTATTATCCACTCAGAAAATAGATAACTAATAGACAATTAATGAGTTTAACTTTTATATTTGTAAAGCTTTAAATTGGGGTTACTTAAGTTTGGGAGATTAGGAATTCTCCTAAAAGTGATTATATTCAAGAAGTCATTGATAATATGGATATCGATATTATTCGCCGGGTAATTTATTTTTTATCCGTATTAAATATGGGTCATGTCGAATAATTTACCCATTTTCGATATGCTCGTATCCGACCCGTTTGCCGCCCCAACGTAGCCTGAACGAAAATATTGCTTTCCTAGGACGCGCTGCAAAGGGTATCAACTTTTATACAGTCGTTTGGCCCAATAGTTTGAAGAGTCATTTAGGAGCTAGCATAATCCAACCCGTTTAAACTTAGACGGGTTGGGCATGTTTCTAATAGATGAATTCATTTTGTCAGGTTGCTATAAGATTACAGACAGTATATATTTAATTTTCTTTCTTTTTTTCCGCTCATTATTTCAGTCGAGCGATGAGGAAGTGGACGAGGTTACTGGAGAGAAGAAAAGGAAGAAGAAGGGACTGAAAGAGAAGATCAAGGAAAAGATTTCCTGTGATCATAAGGAAAGTAGTGAGCAAAAAGTTGAAATGGAGAACTGCACTGGTCATGTGGCTGGTAATGCTAATTATGCAGGAACAACACACGAAGATCAAGAAAAGAAAGGAATAATGGAGAAGATAAAGGACAAACTTCCAGGTCACCACAACAAGACTGCTGCAGATGAGCAAGTCTATGGAGGTGATCAAACAAAAGAGAAGAAAGGATTACTTGACAAAATCAAGGAGAAATTGCCTGGACACCACAAGAATACTGAGGATCATGAGGAGAAGCACAAGTCCAACTGAAAATCATGAGAATCATTCAAGGCATGCATTTAGCTAGCTTATGGACTATATGCACCGTCGACCCAACTTGTTTGTGACTAATATATTAATCGAGGCTTAGTAATTGTTGTTATTGTTGTACTGTTTACCTGCAGATAGCAGTTCACTTGTATGAATTTGCTTTTAATTACTGTTAATGTTTTCATTTGCTTAGTCTTGTTTGGAGTAGTAATGTGATCCTTGTAATTGGCCTCACGTGCCATTGCCTTTTTTTATAATTATTGTATGTTATTTAAGTTCCTTCGTATTTTCCTTCGTTTTCCTAGTGAAACTCCGGTTGCATGTTTCTGGTCTCTGCTTGTTAGAGCAACTTAAATCCATGAAAATGGAACTGTCAAATTTTAAATTGATATCTTTAAATTTAAGAAAGCTGCAAAATCAGTACTGTTGCATGCTAGAGGTATGTCATATACGCAATTTACAGGATAGGTGTAGAATACAGTGACCTTTCTTAAGCATGTAACGGATTGCCCTCTTTGTCCTAGTAGTCATACGAGTATATTTCTTTTTTAGAACTGATACGTGTCCATAAAAACTTATTGATAATACTTGAAAACATATGGTTCTCTAAGATACATACTTTGGTTGGGTAATCTGAAATTCTGAAGCCTATGGATAACGGTCCAACTACAACGGTGTTATTTGGGGGGCTGATTTATGCAAGTATCCCTTTTTAAGATCACTATCAAAATTTTATCTCTATTTTAAAAGTTGTACAAATATAGTCCTTGAAAAATTACCCCTTCAAACAACATTATACCAGTTGTTATAAATATTGTTTTATTTATGGTGAATATCTATATATCAGAGAGTTTTTAGGGTTGTTACTTGGTGGCTAAGTCACTTTTCCCCTATAAATAGAGGGGTTCTATTTCATTGTAATTCACTTCAAATTAATAAGAATTCTCTCTCCCTATTTTTCTCTGCAATACTCTTCTTCTTCTTTTATTGTTTTATAACACGTTATCAGCACGCGACTCTATCCAATTGAGTTGAGGCATCTGCTTTGGTCACCAGGCTTTGGGATACGTGCATGGTGCCCAACTTTTACATAATATTGATCATAATGATTGTTAATTGATCCATGAACTTCCTTGAGGAATAAATTCTGGATTTAAGGTAAGTATTTAACCTAATTTTTCTCTTTTAAATTCTTAAAATTTTATAATTGGATTTTAAATACAAGCAAAGATAATAAATTTTGATTATAACTCTAATAGAGTTTGTAAGAAATTATAACCACGCATTGAATTTGCTTCATTCTCATTCCCTTAAGAGTATGTGATAAATCTGAAAGAAGATAAAATTATTACCATAAAGATATAATTGGATGTGGACGTGGCAATAGACAAAATTATAATCGTCATCATTGTGGTAATGAGAATAATAAGTATTCTCAAAATAATCCTTCACTATGTGAAAGTAATATTTATCATCGATTTGATATGAGATTTTGTAAAGCACATATAGATGATTATGGTCCATTCATGATGTGAATGTGATACATATTCATTTTTGGAAGAATATGAGTGTGCTAGTGGTATATACCACACTCATCTCTAGAAAGAGGTTTGAGAGGAAATAAGAAAATAATGTCATTATTATGGCATAAATGGTCATTGGTCACGTACTTATTGTACGCCAAAATATTTTAGCAATATGATTATTAAAAGACAACAGTAATGTAAGAAACAGATTTTGCATATAATTTTGACCATAACCATAATGGTATAACTTTCTCTTTAAAGAGATATCAACCATATAGATGTTGATGAATATATGATAGTACAAAATTAATTGAGAGCTCTAAAAGAGCCAATTATTACTATTTTGGAGGAACAAAATTGATTATCAATAAGGCATTATGTTGTAGTAAGTCTCAAAGAAACTTATTGAGTTTCTGAAGTATTCACAAAAGCGATTGGTTATATTGAGACTATAAATAAAGGAAACTTTTGATATCTTATATTACTACAACTTGTAGCGGGTGATATGTATGTGAAAAGTTACCAGCTTTATTTTTCAGTTTGTACTACACAAATAAAAGAATGCCACAATAAAGTAGACGTTTATTGATATAAAAGCTCATATCATAATAAACTTGGAGTTTATTCATAATTGTGCATGTCATGATGTAAACCTGAAGTTTACTAATACATACAATTTTATCAAGCATGGCCTATTGAGCAATCTTGATTTAGATGTGCAAAATAAATGAGAATTAACATGGGTAAGTGTTGAAGAAGATTCTTTATGAATTCTCTTGTTTTGCTTGTGTAGGCATATAGAATTTATTGGATCTAAATTCAGTAAAATAAATTGGATCATTTTTAAATCTATTAGTCCAAATAAATATTTTGGGTTAATATAATTGGATTAAGTATATAAGTCCAATTTAATTGGGCTACAAGCGATGAGCCAACTTCATTAGGCCCAAGATGGCATCTTCCTAGAGGCACAATGCCACGTGTCAAATGACGTGGCACGCCACGTCAAATGGAAGAGCCAATATGACCATGCCACGTGTCAAAATGACAAGGCATGCCAAATCACATTAAAAGACTAATAAAATCGTGCCACATGTGCAAGTGACATGTTCTGGCCAATCAAATACGGCCATGTCACACTTCAATTTGATTGGTCGGAAAGAATTTGTTCTCATCACAACTCCTCCCTTCCACAACTATAAATAGGGGTCTTCATAACCCAGAAAAAAAGACCAGAAGTTATAACAAGGAGCAAAAAAGAGCTCGTGGATCAAACGCTGCAAATTTCTCTACAAGTTTCAAGCGTCAAGAAATTAAGTTCAAGTTCAAGAAATCAAGTTCAAGCTCAAGAACGAAGAACAAATCAAGGTCAAGTTCAAGCAATCATGCTCAAGCTCAAGAACAAGACCATCGTTCGTGGCAACAACTACATATTCAAGATCAAGCTCAAAGGCCCTTGAATTTATTTACTATTGAAAAGAAGAATAAGAGGATTTATAGAGATTGTAACACTCATATTACTTGAAATCAAATACTACAATTGTTGCGATATTTTTTTGTCTTGATTTTATTTTCTCGACGCAAATTTATTGTCTACAAATTCTGGCACACCCAGTGGGACAATCTCTACCTCTCATCTCAACTTTTCAATCACCAAAGTTCAAAAACATTGAAATGGCTTCAAAGAGAATCAACTCCGATTCAACTTCCACCAAGGCTGCTAATTTCAGGTTCTATGCTGATGTGGAAAGCATCCTCGATGTTACCTTTGGAAGCTTTGGACCAGTTATGAGGAGCAAAGCAAGCTCGTTAGGAAAATAAGCACCCCAAGTGTCGTCCGCATCAACCCCTGTTTTCGGATCTTCTTCCTCAAAAGGAGCAAGATCTTTCACAAACGCACCCGAAGAAGGAAGCAATATTGCTAAAATGATCAAGAAAACTCTTGCTCTACTTGATCTCTTCGGATCCAAGCACTCTGATGTGAAGGAAGATGATGATGCTTCAAGTGATGGATCCTCCCCACTTACACCATATAGCGTGAG